TGGACGACACGTTTGTTGTTTGTGGCAATAATATTGATTTAGATGATATTCTACATACCTTTAACTTGTGCCACCCTTCCATAAACTTCACGTTAGAAAGGGAACAAGACCAATCAATTCCTTTTCTCGATGTACGTCTGATGAGAACGAGTAATGGTTCTTTAAAAAGATCCATCTTTAGAAAACAAACATGGAATGGCCAGCTAACCAACTTCTATAGCTGGGTTCCGTTAAGTAGGAAGAGAAACCTTATCCATTCTTTATGCCATCGCATACATCACATATGCAGTACGGAATGCATCAACGAAAAACTCGCATTCCTGAAGAAGACTTTGACAGAAAATGGTCACCCAGAACGGTTCATAGAAAAGAATATGAATAAAAGTAGTCGCGAGAAGAATTCAGGTTGTTCCGTTCCAAAGAAAAACCTTTATATAAGTCTGGAACTTAAGGGTGATCGAACATCGGACGTAATCAAAAACCGTCTAACAACAACTATTAGAAGAACATTTAACGCGGCAAAACTGCGAATATCCTTCACTAGTAGAAACTTATTTTCTGTATCCATAAAAGATAAGCTTCCGCGTCTGGTCGCCTCCATGTGCATCTACCAGTTCACCTGCTCTTGTAGAGCAAGGTACATTGGCCGTAGCCAGCGCTCGCTTTCAACTCGGATACGAGAACATATCCCAGCCTGGTTCTATAAGGGTGAAAGGAAAGCAGTTAGGAGTTCTATACTTGAACACCTAATCGACTATAACCATTCAACAGATCCACAAATTGACTTTAAGGTTGTTTATATGATTCGTTCAAATCTACCCAGATTTCTTCGTATCCAACTTTTAAAAAAATAGCCGAAGCTCTTGCCATCCAGGAGCTTAAACCAGAACTATGCGGACAAAAGAAGTACGTCTTATCGTTATCGTTACCTTGGCCTTAATTAGTTTGATTATCCTACTATTAATGTTATTATTATTATTATTACTGCATTCCCTCTTTACTTATGTCTTATATTCTCATTGTTTTATTCATGAACGCTCATCATATCAGTTTATTTTTGTACACCTCTATGACCTTTAATTATTATGACAAAAACAGTTGAATCATTTTAATCATCTTATTATAATCACTAAATCGATTGTTATTGTTATTATTCATTTTACGTAATCTAGTATTATAACCCTTTTTTTATTAACTGTGTTCACATTTCCTCACGGAATTAGTACTTGTACAAAATCAAAATTTTCATATATATATATATACGATTGTACAGCTTGATAATAAATTCGTTGAAAAGACATCCCTTCGCTGAAATTCGTGTTTTAATTTTAATATTTAAATGGGCATTATCATATTATCAAAATCAAACTTATGTCTGATAAATTAGAAGTACGTTTGTACAAACTACTGATGATCCGATGGTGGTTAGAGATAGTCGACAGGAAACCCTGGACACAAGTTTCGTGCTACTTGGCACTCGTCAGCAAGGTGTACCTGTAATCTTGAGGGAACTGGTTCTCGCTGTCGGATTCGATCCGGTGTCACCCAACTTCACAGTCAGAGACGTTACCATTGAGCTATCCGGTCACCTAGACTGGTGGCCACATTGCAACATGGTCGATAGCATTCGATCTGCACTAAATAAGGACTTGACACAAAAGACATTTATCACTGCTCAGTGATCAATCAATTGTGAATACTAATGTCCCACTATTGTTGTTTTCTTAATTTCTGAAGAGCAAGTTAAAGTTGGCAATTCTTCAGAGATCATACATCAAACTTATTTTCTTAAATGGTAAAGAAAAGTAGAAAAAAGTTAAAAGAAGATATCCTCTGATTCAGTTAACGGAAACAACACCAGTTTTAAATAAAGCATATCCTTTTTGAAACAAACTGTGAATTATGCAATATGATCAATAACTTATGTAATAGTCAATCATATAAGAATAGATAGTTTAGGGAATCTTTTGTTGTTGTATGTCATCGTTATATCTGGAGCTTAGATTCTTTGATATATCAAGTACAACTTGACCACTCAAACGCTAGAATCTTCCAAGTCACAAATGAGAAGACAGAAGTGAAAGGAATGCTATACCAAAACAGTGTCAAATATCATACAAACTGTCAAGTATTTATAGTGTTTTTAGTATCAACGAAATCATCATCATTATAGTTATCCAATCTACACATAGGAGGTTCTCATCATTTGTCTAATAGAGAGGTTACACATAAGGATTCTGGAATATTCTTCCAAAAGATGATTGGATGGAATATCTTTAATTCTTTTGGATCTTCTTAGAGATTTCTCAAGTTCACTCGTAATCTATCTTGACAATGATGTTTCACAGTGTACATATAAACATCTAACAATCATTCTATCCATTATTATAATTTTATTCTTTCATTATATTCAATAGTTCATCTTCATTATTTGTTTTATCAACTGAATATTTCCATCGATTCTCATATTGAGTGTACATATTTCTTATCGACGGCGATACTGATTGTGTCTTTGTTTGTTCTATACCTAATATTATTGATTCTTTTAGAACTATTTCAACTGACCATTGTTCTTTGTTTCTACTTTGTTACATACAGATATCCTTAGCACTCATAGAATTAACATTCTGTGTTTGAGTTTCATGTCAAGCATTGTCAATGTGCACTATCTCGGAACATATTCCTTCATGAAAAAATCTTTGTATAATCAATACAGAAAATGATTCAATAATCATCTACTTTCGAACATGTTAAAATAAGTTTCTAGACATCTGATAGCAAGAATTTCAGCAAGATGTTTTAAACAAAAATTCGAATCTCTTTCTGATGAACTGATTCATGAAATACAATGCCAATAAGTTAAAGTTTACTTCTAGTTCAAGGGACCTGAGTTATAATTTAGGGATAATGTCAATTTGTTAATGTTCATTACCCTATTGTTATGTCCTTTGGTTTGTCTACCCAATTTTGGTGCTGATGATACTTATCTAATCCAGATTAAGACCTTGGCGCGATGGGCTGACCGGCCTGACTTTGAGGCCAGTACGCGTGAGTTCGAAGTGGGGTATAAAGAAGAAAACTATTCTATCACCTGATTGGCTGACAAACACGCAAATGAGAGAAGACAAGACAACTGGAACACTACTCGATCTATTCCTCATATCCTAATGTCAGTTCAGTTCAGTTAGTGTGAAAAAAGTACATGAATAAATAGGTGAATAACCCGACCACAACGTACAATAATTAGGAGAAATACAATTTTGTCCAAAATTGGGAATTAGAGTAGAAAATAAGGTGCAAAATATTATGTTTAAATTACAATAGCTTCGGAACAAAAAAGGGGTTATGTCAATGAATCATACATCAAACGAAAGCTTATATTCTGTAGAATAGAATAGGGACAAAAATAAATGTTAGTGTTTTACAAGCTTTGCATAAAATGAAATAACGTCTCGAAAAATAACTTTCGTAATTTGTCAAGGCTTCTTGTTTCCCTGTTCACAACACCTGTAATATACAAAAATAGAATTTAACACTCCATACTTTCAGTACTATCGATTTCACTGTATAATGACTGTTATAATCTAGTAAAGATTAAGTTATAGGTAACCTCTGAGACCTAATAATGGACTAACATTATCTATATATCCTTATGGTATAACTATTCAGTAATTACCTTATGCATATCTATATTCCTCTCATTATAAGCTTCATTTTGACCTGTAGATTATTGTTGTAATCTTCACAACCTACATAATGATAATCCCCATTTACAAATTTATAACATAGATTAATCCAATGTTGGAAGATAATAACAGGTAGTGTCCATTGGTTAGATTGTATTAGGTTCCTATGTGACTAGATTGTATGCATAGGTAAACAGTCGTATAATTTCTTACTCTTTCTAGTCTGATTATCAATTAAGATAACTTATATAGTTAGTAGGAGCAGTGACCACGTATATATCAATCGATGCCCTGGTACGGGCGAGTGAGGAGAGTCCGCTTTCCCTCTCGAAATGCTCTGACATGGCCACGCGTATATAGCCTCTGCCAGGGAAGTCCTACTCACTGCCTCCTCGTGACATTAGTGTTGTTTACGAAATTGAGAGGACGAAAAACGAATGTTCGGCGCTTTAACCGGGTTGGTGAACACAGAGAGTCCACGTAGCGGAGTTGGAAAACCCTCATTCCAAACCAATTGTGCACATGAGCTCCAGTATCCCGAAGGAAAAAAATGGCGTATGAACCAATCGTTGGTCACTGGCCATCATGGGACCGCATCTGCTTACGATGCTCCATTGTCTTGTGGGTCAGACCTTTAGGTCAAAGGCTCCGGGTTTGGCACCCTAAGAAAACCACCTGATTCGGTATTACAGTCCTCGCACAAATCAAATGAGATCTGTGTGGCGCATATGTATTTGGTGCCCCCTTGTATCAATATCTATGTGCTAAAATAAATAAAATAAAAATAACAAACGAAACGTTAACACTGATTGATTGTCAATCTTTTTCTAAACTAGTGATTAGTTAGAAGATCAAAGCAAATGGCAGATTAGTTCTCTATTGAACTCAATTCAATCATAACTCAAAACTCATGCAAAAATATACTCTTATAGCAACTATCCTACAATCCATTTTGATTATGGTTAGTATTGGTTAAACTATTTTATTTAACTTACTTAATAGACAATTCGCATATCTCTTTTTACCGTTATGAACAGTAGAGAACATGACAAACTCTGGCTAAAATGTTGATCCCTGAAATACTGCTCGTTGATTCATTCTCTTCTCCATGTATATATTTACGCGAACTCTATTATTAACCTTTCGTTTGCCTTGCTGTACCCTTATGTGATTTGAATATAAATTTGACTATGTAATTGCTGGTATGTACTTGTTCGTCACTCCGCTTCAAATTCGCTTGATGTGCTTATAGCTTCGTAATCTGCGCTATCCGCTAATGAAACTGTAGTTGTCCATTCTCATTGCCTTCTGATTTTAAACACTGTTGAGGTAAAAAAAAGATCGAACAGAACGACAACAGAGAATGATTGGTGTGTAAACAAAAGAACAATGAAGTCTTAGACGATTGATGGACATTTTGCAAATAGTTCTCAGATTTTACTAAGTGGTTATGTAATGTTGCATTCAAATACATTCGATTGTCTCCACTTGTAAGATCTCATTCACTACAGTTTAAGTTAATTTCTCTGAATTTAATGATTTACTTGTATGACTGTAAACTGTAAGATGATCAATGTATATCCATTATGAATACTGTCTGTATACTACTAATTATATTGTATTAAGATATTTAGGACGCGGTATATGCCCCTTCACGAGGAGTAACAGGCGTAAGTAAGTAAGTAAGATATTTAGGACAATGTTTCAAACTGAAGTGTCGGTTACTATATAAGGCTCATATAATTTATTCTAGGTTCTGAACAGACTTTGTTAATTATTCACTTATCAATCTTGACTGAAGATACATTTTGTTCGCGAGTGCTATTCAGCATGAACCTAGGACTTCCTAGTGAATAACTTCAGCCAGAAGAATCAAGGGGAAACTATATCAAAATCGTCAGTGAATTCTATTCCGGTGATATAGATAGCAATGATGTGGAAAAGTTCATACTTTAAAATGTGGAGTGGAGAATGGAAAGCAGAATTGATAGTAAATTCTAGTAATGTAGACGTTCTGCTATAGGGTCACATCACATAAGTATACATACTATTTGTCTGTTGAGTGTAATTAATTACTATATCTATAAATCTATATGAAGTATAAACATTGATGTAATCAGTTGGCTAGCTAACTTTTGTCGATATAAACGCGAAAATGATAGGAACACAAAACCCACCCGGATTGTGTATATTCTTGCATAACAGCAGCTATTCGGATAACCAATTGTTCCGGAGATATAGGTTCACCATACGCCAGCTGATATGCCTGGGACGACTTTCTGGCCTGTTTAACCAATACACGATAATCTGGCGACAGACCACTGTAAACCATTCCTACCCCATCTGTCACTTGTTCAATTTTTGTCACTGTTGACTCGTCCATAAGTTTTGAAGTGAACTTTTTTACTGCAGCAAGCACAAAAGAAACGCGTTCTATTTAAAAGGACAGTGATATTCTTTCTCGTTGAGTTAACTGTTTTGATCGTAAATTACGCATCAAAACTACTGTTTACACTTTAATTGCATCTAACCCAGTTAAAGTGATATTGTATTGAGTTTTTCGATTTTGCTTCTGTGTATTTATTGCATCGAAGCATACTTGGTCGACTTTTACTTGATTTATTTAGTTAAGGTTTGAAAATCCTTCTACATATCCTATTTTTGTCACCGTTTTAGTTGATTTTCAAGATGGCTAGGTCTACTCATCCTTCATCCCGTGGATGAAGGGATGCAATGTGATGAGTGTAATAAGTGGTTCCATAAGATGTGCACCCGATTAAGCCCCACTGCATATAAAAGGTGTTCAAAGCCCAACTCTCATTGGCTTTGTAGTTTTTGTTGCTCGAGCAAAACATTGCTTATCCAGGAAGCAATTAGTCTCCTGGTGTTGGCTAATAAGAAGGTTGATGAGGGCTGTACTGATAACATTGGTACTGATGGCGAAGATTGCGTTAGTGTCGTAAGTGCTATCACGCCGCAAGCCAGACATATACCTGTGCAACCCGCTATTAAACCGTCTACCCCGAAACAATCAATGAGTGACACCTCATTAGATATTGGTGGCCATGTTGCTACAGCAGCAACCGGTGACCCAGATAAAACAGTTACTGTCCCGAGTGGTTCTAATGTGGATGCTACGACTGATGGAATATGGATGGCACGGAAACGCAGAAGATTAAGAAAGATAGCTAAAACTAATGACCGTTTACTTGATAAGTCCTTGGTGGACTCTTAGACCACTCCGCCAAAGTCCCATAGTAAAGCTTCGTCTAACATTGTTGTGAGTCATTCGCTTGACTCCCAGGTCTCTGTTAAAATAAAAACTAATCTTAAGATACCAGTAGTTAAAATACAGGATTTGACGTCACGGTCGAAAGCTGTGAACACAGTTTCAAAAGAAGCTAAACCCCTCTCTAGTTTAATTATTTGGAATCTAGAGGAGTCGAAAGACAACGACCCTGCTAGAAGACATGCACATGACCTGCAGTTAGTGAAGTCTGTGGTAAGGAATGTACTACCTGAAGAGGTTTCAGGGGTACATATTACAAAAGTAATACGACTTGGTAAATGGGTTGGAGGCGAGACCCAACCAAGAAGAATCCTGAAGCTGGTTCTCGGGAGTTTTGAAGAAAGAGACATTATTGAAAAGCGCACTAAAAACTCGTGCCTCAAATATCCGTATTCGACCAGATTGGCCGCTTGAGGATCGAATCAAGTGGAAGAATGCTCTTACGGAATTGAGGACTCGCAAATTAAATGGCGAAAATAACCTTACCATTAAGGGTTTTCGGGTAGTCAGGTCTTGGAAGCCAATGCTTTTGAGGCCTGTATGGGTAGAACGATTGATTTCCAAAACATCTTAAGTGTGTGCTACACGAACGCTCGTAGTCTTAGAAATAAAACGTCCGAGCTAAGTCTGATGGTGCAAGAATTATGTCCCGATATAATCGTTGTTACAGAAACTTGGTTCACCGTTGATACAGACTGTCCTAATTTCATTGCTGGTTATATCTGTATCAGAAGAGATAGAGTTTCAAGTCGCAAAGGGGGAGGTATAATATTATACGTTAGGAATTTTATATCCCATATATGTTAGACCACATTTAGAGTACTGTATCCAAGCAGCTAGCCCGTGTCTGGTAAAGGATACTAACTCCCTTGAGCGTGTCCAGCGTGTGGGAACGAAATTAGTGAAGGGTCTTTCTAGACTCCCTAACGATGAGCGTTTAAAACGCCTAAATCTTTTCCCCTTGTCGTAACTTAGGACACGAGGTGACCTTATACTGGCATTTCGTATCTTTAATTATGATTTGGGTGTTAATGTCTTATCCTTTTGCTCCCTCCAGCACTAATAATCTCTGACGTCATAGCAAGAAGGTTCATAAACCACGATCTAATAAACTTAAAGTGGGATCCCGTTTTTCTCATCGAGTAGTCAATCATTGGAACGCCTTACCCGAAAAAGTGGTATCACCCCCATCAGTGAATACTTTCAGGGAAAAGCTGGACCTTCACTGGAAAGCAATGTGTCAGGATTAACACAGGTTCATCAACCTACTATCCTTATTACTGAAGACTGATTCGCGGCACATATACCAACAGACGGAGCTCCAGCTTCAACTGCTTTCAATGCATATTCAATCTGAACAAGCTTTCCGGATGGACTAAATTTTTTGATAAAGTCTAAAAATATGGGCTCACCTGAATGTAGTTAAGGAGAAGATGTATCTTTCGCTCATAATGAAGCAAACTGAAGGTCACGGAATTTCAAATTGTTCTAAGGTCGTTCCATATTTCCAATAACTTTAAAACGGGTGTATATAGAAAGATTTGTTTCATTGCTCTCGCTTTTTGTTGAACCGATACGGTTATGAGTATTCTTGCCACTACAACGGCTTCTGGCCATCGAGGTTAGGGGTCGATGATGTCACAGGTATTCAGTGTTTGACAACGCTTCTACCAGTAACACCTTCTAATATATTTCGTTCCCGCCCAGAGAAATCAAAAGACAGAGTCGAGGAGATCGGAAGAGTATATTTGGCGATGACCAATATATCGGAATTCTCTGATCTAATCTGGCTAGCGATTGCGGTTGATGTTGAGCACGGCGTTACCACACGTGATCTGGTGCAGATGCCTGACCGAGCGCCTTCAGCTAGATGAGTCCACTAAAACATATGGTCAGCATCCAATGTCGAAAACTTACAGAGCTATTTATTTTAGGGATTTATTTACCGCTACAGATCACTCCCCCCCTAGTGGGGCAGTGACGACCCTAAGACGTGGCCAGCCAGAAGTTTAAACCCAACGAGTTTGTCGTTGGTAAACACTCTTCTGATAGCTTACTAAATTTAGCAGCGTCTGGTCGTCTTTCCTTACTATATGAGACGGAGGTACAACATAGTAAAGAAAGAAAATGTACAATGAAAATTTCGGATCCTCATAAACGTCATCGTTCTTTTCCAGCCGTCCTGGAAAAAAAAAAGAAAATGTAAGTGCATGTCGAAATACACTCGTATGTGCGTAAAAACACAATGTCGGCGGAAAAAAGATGGAAAATAAACTCATGAACACGTAATAGCGTTTAAAAAAATTGATTTTTTTTGGTTTTGTTTTTTTTTTTAGATAGAAATAAAAATATATAAGCATATTAAAATTGTTTTTTTTTAAAAAATAATATAAAATGTCGAGAAGTACCTTACGTGCAATAGTCGTTTAAATGTTCTGGAAATCTCACCCTTCTTCCAGAACGCGTCGTTTTAAGTTTATTTTCGGATACTGTCGAAGTATCATCGTGTGTGTTGGTTGTCGAATGAGGTATTATAAGTGTCGGAGTCGTGTCGTTCGATTGTACCGAAGGAAAATCCACGTAGATAGGATTTCCTTCTAAATACGCTGCTTTTAAGCGATCGATGCTGATGCTATCGTTGGTTCCTTTCTTATCGACTATATAGTACTTAGATTCACGTTGAAGAACTTTGAAGGGTCCTTCGTATGCTGATTCGAATGGTCGTCGATGCGAGTCTCGACGAACGAAAACGTGTGTACTATATCGTAAGTCAGGTTGAACGAAAACATCAGTTGATTGTGGTCGAGTGGAAGCAGGTTTAACTGAACGCATTGCGTTTGTAAGCCTGTTCGTGTAGGAGGTTAGATCCATGTTCATTGATGAGGATGAAGGATCCACGAATTCTCCTGGAAGTCGAAGTGTCGTACCATAAACGAGTTGAGACGCAGTGTATCCAATGTCAGCTTTCACTGCATTGCGGATACCTAGTAAGACGAGTGGAAGAGCGTCGGTCCACTGTGAAACGTTTGCAGCTGATAGCGAAGCTTTCAGTTGTCGGTGAAAACGTTCTACCAACCCGTTTGCTTGTGGATGGTAGGCGGTCGTTCGGAAGCGAGTGCTTCCTAAAAGAGTGGTCAGACGACGGAAAAGATCAGATTCAAATTGACGTCCGCGGTCTGTAGTGATGGTTGAAGGGCAGCCGAAGTTTGCTACCCATCGTTCGACGAAGGTGCGAGCCACTGTTTCAGCAGTGATGTCCTTGATAGGTACTGCTTCTGGCCATCGAGTGAAACGGTCTACGCAGGTTAAGAGATAAGAGTATCCATTTGAATCTGGTAAAGGTCCTACCAAATCCAAATGAACATGGTCGAAACGAGCATCGGGAGTTTTGAACGAGCCTAAGGGACATTTATTGTGTCTTATAACCTTAGATTTTTGGCAGCTTACACAGGAGCGTGCCCACTCCCTCACGTCTTTATTCATTCCAGGCCAGCAAAACCTTTCTGCTATGAGCTTGATGGTTGCACGAACACCTGGATGCGAAAGTTTGTGCAATGTGTTGAAGACATTGCGTCGATAATGTTTCGGCACGATTGGGCGATCCCTACCTGTAGATGTGTCACAAAGTAAGGTTTCCTTACCTGTTCCCATCTGTTTGATGCGTAGTTTAAGTGTTGTGGACGATAACTCGTGCTGAAGATCACTGTCTTCTTTTTGAAGCTCGGCGAGTTTAAGAAGGTCGATTCCTTGGAAACTGTTCAAGGAAGTTATACGAGATAAAGCGTCTGCAACTACATTGTTTGCTCCAGAGACGTGTTGAATATCTGAAGTAAACTGCGAAATGTAGTCCAGTTGTCGAGGCTCACGTGGAGAGTACTTGTCAGAAGGAGAGCTTAACGAGAAAGTGAGCGGTTTATGATCCGTGAAAAGAGTGAATTCACGACCTTCGATGTAGTGTTGGAAATGCCGTACAGCACAGTACATAGCTAGGAGTTCCCTACCGAATGTGCTGTACCTCGATTCGGTGTCTAGCAACCTTCTAGAGAAAAATGCCAAGGGTTGCCAGGAGTTGTTAACCCATTGTCGTAAGACTCCTCCGATTGCTGAGTCGGATGCGTCTACTGCGATGCTAATGGGTGCTCGGGTGTCCTGATGTGCAAGCATTGTTGCTTTAGCAATCAGTTCCTTAACTGTGGAGAATGCTTTTCGTGCGGTGTCGTCCAAATTAATGGATTTCGCATTTCCACGAAGTTGGTCGGTCAGAGGTTTCATAAGTAATGCGCATTTCGGTATGAAACGTCTATAGAAACTTACCAGGCCGTTAAACGTGCGCAATTGCTTGACGGTGGTCGGTTCTGGGTAATCCAGAATGGCCGCCACTTTGGTTCTAGGGGGTCGAATGCCTTGCGCTTCCATAGTGTGTCCTACGAAGTCTAGTGAGTCAGTTCCGATTTGGCATTTCTGAACGTTTACAGTAATGCCATGTTTTTGTAGTCGTTCGAAAACAAGATCCAGATGCTTGAGATGTGTTTCTCTGTCCGGACTTGCGATTAGGCAGTCGTCAACATACGCGTGTACGAAGTTGAGACCTCGAAAAACGTCGTCTATGAATCTTTGGAATGTTTGAGCAGCGTTCCTTAGACCGAAAGGCATTTGCAAAAATTCATAGAGTCCGAAGGGAGTTATGATAGCTGTTTTCGGTATATCGTCAGTAGCCATAGGGATTTGGTTATACGCTTTAAGCAAGTCGATTTTCGAAAAGACAGTTGTACCTTTCAAGGTAGCTGTCAAATCGTGAATGCGAGGCAACGGGTAACGATCGGGAATGGTTTTCTCGTTCAATCGCCGATAGTCACCAGTTGGACGCCAATCGTTGCTGTCCTTTTTAGGGACCATGTGCAACGGAGATGCATATGGGCTACTTGACGGTCGTATGATTCCTAAGTCCATCATGTGATCGAATTCGTTTTTCGCTAACCTTAGCTTTTCAGGAGCTAGTCGGCGTGCTTTAGAAAATACAGGTGGTCCTGTAGTCGTGATGTGATGTGTAACATTGCTGGTTACACACGGTAGTTTCGGTTGAGTTTGTTGTATCTCAGGGTACTTATCGAGTAGTGGTTGATAGAGTGGGTCTATCATATGTTTAACTGTGACTGGGGATACACTACAACCAGTAAAAGAAGTTACGCAAACGGACAAATTAGTGTTACCGTCTACTAGCCTCCGTTTGCGCGTGTCGATGATCAGATTGTGGTGTTGTAGAAGATCCATACCAATGATTGGCATAGAAACATCTGCAACAACGAAAATCCAGTGGATGGGTTTGCGTAAACCCACGTTAAGGTAAACGTACCTTTTGCCATACGTAGAGATCGGTTTTCCGTTTGCCGCCTGTAAGTTTAGGGTCGATTCGTGTAGTCGGTCGTTAGGATTTGCTGAGAGAACGCTAACTTCTGCGCCAGTGTCGACGAGGTAGCGAACTCTCGTTGTCACATCTGTTACGTATAACAGATGGCCATGTTCGCCGGCTACGGTTGCCGTTAACGCGTGCCGGCTTGGAAGTTTCCCGAATTGCTTTTCGAATCAGTCGGTTTCGTGTTGGGAAAATTGCAGGGTTTTCTGAAATTTCTGGAAAGCTTTCCATACTGGTTATGATACCAGCACCAGTCAGGGTTATCTGTCTCTCGTGGTCTAGAGACAGATCGCTTACGAGAAATGCTTCTACGTGGTGTGCGCGATCTCTTACGGTCGGTACGAAGACTAAGATAACGCGTGAGTGTGTGACATAAGTCGTTTATATCATTCTGAGTCGTTTGAGGTTTTTCTTTGACTGAAAATACCTCGGTAGTAGATTTCGTAATTTCTAAAATGCGGTCGGCAGATGCAGCTAGCTCGTCTAAGGCGTTGTTCTGGAACGAGACCAGAACTGCTTGCACCTGTTGGGGAAGTTTTGACAAGAAGAGTTGTTTGAATAGGCCTTCGTCGAAGGTTCTTGGGCCTATAACCTCTCTCATCCGTTGCAACATGTCTGTCGCAGAACCGTGTTGCAGGTCGATATTGTTGAAGAGTTGATCTAACCTTTGTCGATCGGTTAGGTCTCCTCGTTTAAGAATCGAGCGTTTTAAGATTTCGTAAGGATCGGAAACATCACTAGTAAACATACTAGGTGTTACGTACCTGTTGAATTCGCGCGGTAGTGCCTTGACTGCTGCGAGGAATTGTGCACGTGTGTCGATCACGCCGTGCTCGGAAAAGTCGGCTTCTGCGTAGCAAAACCAGGCTTCGATGTTGTCGGGCCAGAAAGGCATCAGTTGAAACGAAGGCGGGGACAAAGTCTTAAGCTTGAATACTTTAGGTGTCTGTTCAGTCATGATGAAGTATGAAGTACGATAATGAACGAGGGGAAAATATATATATCCAGGAAAAAACACGAAAAAAAATCACAATGTTTAAAAAAATAAAAAATAAGGCAATGATATATAAAAATCCCAAAAAGGAACAGACTCACAGTTGCAATTAGGTGTACCAGATCACGTCGGTCTCACCAATGATGATGTCACAGGTATTCAGTGTTTGACAACGCTTCTACCAGTAACACCTTCTAATATATTTCGTTCCCGCCCAGAGAAATCAAAAGACAGAGTCGAGGAGATCGGAAGAGTATATTTGGCGATGACCAATATATCGGAATTCTCTGATCTAATCTGGCTAGCGATTGCGGTTGATGTTGAGCACGGCGTTACCACACGTGATCTGGTGCAGATGCTTGACCGAGCGCCTTCAGCTAGATGAGTCCACTAAAACATATGGTCAGCATCCAATGTCGAAAACTTACAGAGCTATTTATTTTAGGGATTTATTTACCGCTACAGGGTGGTTGTGCACGCGTAATACTTCATAAAATATACTAAAGCAACGGAATACAGAGATAGTATAAAACAATTATCTTTTAGTAGAAGTTGAGTATATGCACACATGAACGCGAGCAGCTTCACGGACTCGTAGAGGACTGAGGCATTGTTATTCTTTATGAATCAAGCTTTAACGAATCACATGTGTTAAATAAACGTCAATGCGTATTTACCTGATAACTGGAAGAATGGTCTTGTGTATTCTAACTTGGAAAGTAAAACAATACGTATCATATTTTTTATGTAGGTCAAAGTCACATGATGACGTGAAATCGTTCACGACATTGCTGCATAAGTACCCTACGTTATTTCGTGGGGAGGATAGTGTTGGAAAGTCTCTTATTCAAATATAGTTATCGTTGATTTCAGCACGCGGTTGACATAGCAATTGAATAAAATTCAAAGACTTAAATGAGTCTGTTCCGATTTCAGTTGTTAATTCCAATATTAATGAGTATATTCTAGATAACACAGATTCTACACCGGATACACAGTCGAACAGACACATAATAAACATATGGAGCAGTGGTAGGATTGATTGCAGGAATTCGGAATCTCGTTGAAGTTTTAGCGTGTTTGGTGCTCGTATGAACTAATGATTCTTTCGCAATCGATGTCCGCCTGGTTTCGAATTCCAGGAACACTGCATTCGTTTGTGCTAACCTACTTCTCTCTGCACAGATTTCACTACTTCGGGAATTCCTAGATTGCACAACAATTCGGATACTTCTAATAATCACGATGAGTTACATCTTCAACCAACTTATACAGTCCATTTATTTAATGACTGAAGTTACATAGATCTAGGTCTCAATCTGTATGTTAACCAATAAGTGAGTAAACTGAGAAGCAATCTGTTTCAAATCACTAAACGTCCTTCAAAATGGAAAACATCCGTGAGTTGTAAGTATTCAATCACAGGCATCTTCCAACAACTGCTAGTGTATATTGT